GTCGAACTACAGCGTTCAACTGCAGCATACCGAGATGTCAAACAAATTCGTTTTACTGAAATGTTTGCCAGGCTAGCAATGCGAAACTCACCCGAGAAATTACACCAGCAAGCTAGCGCAACTCCCGGGCAGTTTACAATGCCAACCTTCCTTGTGCTGATGAATATAGCCGCAACAGTACCGAGATACCGCGCAAGAAACACCAGAGCAGCACGAATTCATCATGAATTAAACAGTCACACCGAAGCGTAAAAGTACATCACAAATCGTTCCCTTTTCTACCTGGATTACCGAAACCCAGGCATATTTTTATTCCTTAACCCGTCCAGCGCCGGCGGCAGAGCCACAAGCACCTACTAGGACTAAGAAATTATAGACGCAAAAAAAAAAATTTTTTTACGCCTATCAGGATCGTCTTTTCATTTAGTTGACCAACTTGAATTTTCACTTTGGTCTCCATAAAGGTAGGCACAAAGCTACACGTTCCCAAATGGTAGAAACACTACAAAACACGCTACAGGCACAAAGTACGAGGTAAAACAGTGATGGAAAAATTCACCAAGAATTCTCGCCCGCAGATTAGACTTGGCTTCAGTATGGGCGGGCACTTGGTGAAATTCGATACTCCTCGACGGAAAATTTTTTTTTCACTCGATTCTTGTATTGACGAGGGGAAGTCAACTGACTAGTTCCCGGACTCTGAAACCTTATCGTTCATCAGATATCGAAGGTTTGTCGAGCGGTTGGCCCTAAATGGCCCAAAACGGAAATGCTCGTATCTCGGCAACCAGAAAGCTTTGAGCGCGCCACGACTGCACAGGCTGCATAACTTTTTAAGGCGCATCTTTTCATGTTTCAAGCCTTCGCGGAGTCACTTTCTGGATGGTCGACTAGTTACGTCGTATTATCGAGTCGCCACTTTGTTGGCCGATGTCTAGTTCGCCAAACCAAGTTGCTCGTGGATGCGAGATCGTCATGCATCTAGATGTAAAATTTCACGGGGAATCCAAAAATGCTATCAGAAGTTGGAAAATATTAACTTTTGGAGGAGTTATGGGCAAAATACCGTTTTCGGACCTTTCAGAACCTATATATGTCATTTTGGGCCTGAAGGAGTCCGATTTGAGCGATCGGGTGTCAAGACCAAAAAGATGCGCCGTGAAAAGTACTTCCTAGAGCAAGAACGACCCTGCACGAGAGCGCCCTAACTTTCATTTGGCTAAGCTTTGAAACTTTGCAGAAATACATGACGTCAAAATGGCGTCGTAGCGTCAAAATTAGCCCGATTCACGCGATCGGATGTCGAGACCAAAAAGATGCGCCGTGAAAAGTACTTTCTAGATGCAGAGCGGGCCGAGAGCCGGGGTATACAATATCTCGAGCAAAAAGCGGAAAACCGAAAACAGCGTTTTTCATCGGGGACCACCTTCATGTTGCTGGTAATGAGCTGCGTCGATATATGTAACGACCTTGCGAAGATTCGGGGCGGAACACGCTTTTATTCGTCGATTAGTGATTTTTTGATGTCCGGGACCGATAAATCGCGTCGCATTTGGCCTGTAGGCGGCAATTTCGTATTGTGACGACGCACACATGCTTGTACTAGTGCCATACGCGATAATCAAGCGCGACCCGGCGTCAATCCGATCTCTACAAGTGCAGTTTCAACCAATCGAGCATGCTGAGCTGCATACGGGATTGACTCAACGAAACGGGTCTGTGAGTCTTCCGAATCGGCGCCCATGCAGCCGAGCTAGGATATGCTTTGTAATGATGTTAAACAGGTGCTCCGAAAGTGGCGTCACGTGGGACGACCTGGTAGTGAAGATATGGAGGTTTGTCGAGCTCGCCGAGGCCTGTGCCGCCATCCTGAGACAGGCTGGTACGACATTTGCGGGTATTCCGAGTCGGCGCGCGCGCTATGAAGCTAGGATATGTTTTGTATTGATGTTATACGTGTTGTCTCCAAGTGGCGTCGCGCGGGAAGGCCTAGAAGCGGAGATATTGGCATGCGTCGATCCCGCGGCGACTAGCCATGCTATCTGCAGTCCATATCGAGCACTTTGATCCGGGCATAGATTGATTCCCGATCCGTGTTTTGCTGTTTTCTCACTAAATCCGACACTATGGACTATGTAACTCACTTTTATAACCATTCTCGACGAATCGACGA